ACAACATTTTAAGAAGCATTTTAACCTTTCTTCCAACAAATCATCATTGGTGTTAAAGCATATTACATGTTTTACAAGGTTGTGTTGAAAAACTTAGTCAAATTTAGTAAAATTAAAGGAGAAAAAATATTTTGAAAATATGAGATTTACATATCATGAAGTTATTTAACACTTGTAAAAATACAAGTAATTCAAAAAAAATTTTTACCACTTTATTCAACCAAGAAAATTTAGTAAAATTCACAGAAGATCAAATATTACGGGATTTGATCAAATATTTTTATCACTCTATTCAACCAAGAAATCTTAGTAAAATTCAAAGAAGATCAAACATCCAGCTATAAGACTTTCCAGATGACTTAATTATTAGTCATCTGGGAAGACTAACACAAATTCTTAATACATACTCATAAAGTCTGGACGACTTAGTAGAAGACTTATAATTAAGTCTTCTGGAAAGTCATCTAGCTGGAAGAATTTACAGATGACTTAATTATTAGTCATCTAAGAAGACTAACACAAATTCTTAATACATACTCATAAAGCCTGGACGACTTAGTAGAAGACTAATAATTAAGTCGTCTGGAAAGTCATCCAGCTGGAAGACTTAACTGTAAGTCTTCCAGACAGGTCATTTTTGCAATTGAAATTTAAAAGAGACGACTTACTTCTAAGTCGTCCAGCTTTGTATGTTAAAAAAAAAAAAGTCTGGACGACTTATAAATAAGTCGTCTAGGAAAAACAGGCTAATTTTGCATTTGACCGAATTGTGTCAGATATTTGACTTTTCTTGCACGACTTACCAGTAAGTCGTCTCCGGGAAAGTTAAAATTTCAATATTTTATTAAATCTAGACGACTTACGGATAAGTCGTCTTAGGTTAGTTTTGTAATTGAAAAACAAAACTTTAATTTTAACTTTTCCCAGAAGACTTAATTTAAAGTCGTCCACTCAGACGATTTATTCTAAAGTCGTCCGAGATAAGCAAAGTTTGACCGGAAAAAAATCTGGACGACTTTACTTATCTCAGACGACTTTAGAATAAGTCGTCTGACTGGATGACTTTAAAATAAGTCGTCTGACTGGACGACTTTAAATTAAGTCTTCTGGAAAAAAATTAAAATTAAAGTTTTTTTTTTCAATTACAAAACTAACCTAAGACGACTTATCCGTAAGTCGTATAGATTTAATAAAATATTGAAATTTTAACTTTTCCGGAGACGACTTACTGGTAAGTCGTCCAGGAAAAGTCAAATATCTAACATAATTCGGTCAAATGCAAAATTAGTCCGTTTTTCCTAGACAACTTATTTATAAGTCGTCCAGATTTTTTTTTTTTAACATACAAAGCTGGAAGACTTAGAAGTAAGTCGTCCAGCTCATCCAGAAGACTTACAAGTAAGTCTTTTACGCGAACAGATCTGGAAAAAATTTCAATTTCATACCTTAAACTAAGTGAGATGACTTTCTTAGCA